AATGAAGATTTTTTGCTGGACGCAAAAAGTATACGAATCACATAAGTTGGCTTAATTAATGACTTCATAATTATTAGTGATCAATTAATTGATTATTTCATCATTTGATCATTAATTTGTGTTCCAAATTGATGTGTAAGTTATTACTTGTTAATTGAGATAAATGAAGATTTTTTGCAGGACGCAAAAAGTGGACGAAACGCATAAATTGGCTTAATTAATAACTTCCTAATTAGTGATCATTTAATTAATTATTTCATCCTTTGATCATTAATTTGTGTTCTAAATTAATGTATAAATCACTACTTTTTAATTGAGATAAATGAAGATCTTTTGCTGGACTCAAAAAGTGGAAGAATCACAGAAATTGGCTTAGTTAATAACTTCATTTAGTGATCAATTGATGAATTATTTAATAGTTTTATGTTCCAATTTAATGTGTAAATCACTATTTTTTAATTAAGCTAAATGAAAATTTTTTGCTGGGCGCAAAAAGTGGACGAATCACATAAATTGGCTTAATTAATGACTTCATAATTAGTGATCAATTAATTAATTATTTCATCATTTGATCATTAATTTGTGTTCCAAATTAAAGTGTAAGTCACTACCTTTTAATTGAGATAAATGAATATGTTTTGCTGGACGCAAAAAGTGGACGAATCACATAAATTGGCTTAATTAATGACTAGAATTAGTGATCAACTTCAATAGTTTTATATTCCAAATTAATGTGCAAGTCACTAGTTTTTGTATCACATGAAGAATTTTAGAAGCTTGAAATTACCATGTGGCATGTTGCCATGATCGTGGATGAAATCCATGGAATTATCTCGCAGAATCTTCAAACATATGAGCCTTCCAATCCAATCTCCTGCAATGAATCGGTACAAATATACCTGTCGGTATCAGATTTTACATGAGTATTTGAACATGAAAAATAAAACGACTGCATTTGGCGTAGAAAAAAGTACTGTTAAGGCGCTGCTCAGATACACACGTTTATTCTTACCATGGCAAAAATCCATAAATTGGGCTACGAACTGCTACCCCGTCCACCATACGGTGACCATACTCTCCAGATACAGCCTCCCGCGACATTTTTTTAAATCGAAACTTGAAGAAATGGCTGGGCAGGAAGAATTTTGTGTCGAATAGCGAGGTAATCACTTAAACAAATGTCCATTTTGGGAGCCTTGAGCAAATCTATTATTTGAAAAGAATAAAAAATGTGCATAAATGCTGGACTAAATGTATCGAGCTCAAAGGAGACTATGTTGAGAAATAAGACGCTTTTTTACCTGTCACTGATTTCTCAAACTGCCCTCGTATCAAAATAAAACCTGCAGTTAAATTAAAACTCAAAATTATTATTTTGATCTATCCTTTTCAATATTCGAGTTCCTAAATGGTTTTTAATTAACCTCGACTGTACTTGATTTCCAAATTATAATTTGTTTGTGAACTAGACCAACAAAACTTTTATTTTGTATCTTATATTTAAGTCGCAATTACCGATTCTACGAAACTCTTTCTATTTGTATGTTTCGCGTTATTTTGAAAAACAAACTAAATCCTTAAATTGGCGTAATTAATTAGGGTACCTATCTTATGTATGTACTTATATTCGTCGTATTTTGACATTTACAAATAAAGTATAATTTAGCATAGTTTAATTATTCTTCACTGCATTGTTATTTCATTTTATTGTGTCGATTATTTTTTGTACATATAGTATAATTAACTCTCTAAGGTGGTGGTAACATTTTGTTACTTTTCTTGTAATTATTTAGTAATAAGACAACTCATGGAAACATTTTTATTAATCACTTTTGAAATGCTTGCCTGGCTAATAATAATATTTTCCCATTTCATTGTATTTTCGTATAGAAGTATGGAGTATCCTTTATGCTGTGAAGTATCCTTTAGAAGTGTGTAGTATCCTTTATGCTGAATAATTCCAGGTTGATTAAATTGAAGGAACATGTTTTCAAAGATGATGGTTTTCAAGTGATAGTAGCATTAATGTTACCATGACGTTTAACCATCTTTGTTTCATAGCTCTAAAAGCCCTGAAGAAGGTGAATAGCTTTAATCGAATCAACTTTAGTTCATTCAAATAGAATCAACAAGTAGCTCTGTGTGTTTACTTATTAATTAAAATACTTATTCAAGTATTTTACCCCCAAGATTTGTAGACTAATACTATATATAGCATATGTTTTCTGTGCTAATAAATCTTTTAATTACATTCTGTTTAATGTTCTAATTAACGAAATATATTTTTACAGGTGTAAAAACATCTATAAATATAAATAATGGCTGGAAATTTACTACATTAAATCAAATGGATTTCTTGTCAAAAATCTAAAAAAATCAATGAAAGCAAACATATGCGTATGCTGTTAATAGCAAAAAATGGTTTAAATGTTTAATTACCCTGTAAATATAGCATATCAAAACGAGTATTAGCCCACATTAAATTGTTTATTTTGATATACCGAAATATCTGGGGGTGGGGGCATCTGATTAGCTTTTCAGTTGACGGCTTTATAAACAAGGCTCATCAATGCCATTCATAGACCCAGAACCCTTCTGCGGTACTGCAAAAAATCTCTATAATGGTGGAATAATTTAACGAGGCAGAGGTAGGCAAAAAAGTTCATAGTAGAACATTCGTCAAAGTTCACGGCAGACCTGAGAAGCAAAGACATTCAAAACTCTAGTGGGTCTACTAACAGGATATGTTTTGGTTTGGTTAGTTTAGGTTGGTAGACACTAATATGCCAATGCCAAAGAGCTATATTACGGAGGGTTAAGCCTCCAAATTGCTAGACTTTTGGAAATTATCTGGAGTATGAAACCTAAGGATCAGAAGAATATCACAATAGATCGGAAAAGGTCGCAGTAGAACAGGCCCACAGCCCACAGCCATCTCAAAGAATCTAATCTAGGGATTGACTAACACTTCCATGTTAGACTCAATGTAATGCCATTTGTAAGGAGGGGTGTGTTTTTTTTGGTAAAACTCTCTTTGAAACATTTTCTATTGTAGATTTCTTCAAGTGATTTTTGGTGATGCCAAAATTTTTGGCAAAATTGCCTTTCTATTGCGAATGGAAAGTTGCGGCTGCGGAAAACATGATTGGCTTTTCTTGGTAAAGGGGTGTTAAAAAAGTTTTATAGATAAATAGTGCTTGTTCCTATCACCATCTCGAGAGAGATGATCATAGAGACGAATCTAGACAGTTTGGGAGTCGAATGTTACCCACTAAAAAGTCCACCTCCGAGGATCCAGCTGCCGAATTATAGTCAGCTATTATTTTTGCTGGTATTCAGGAAAAAGATAAAAGGATTATTTATAGGGTTTGGGGGACTATTTTAAAGGAAGGGGGAGAGACAAAGTTAATTGTCCAGAAGAATTGTTTTCAGATGGGGATATATAAAGTTTCTATAGTATTCGGGATTATCTTATCGGATGGTACCAATTTTTTTGTGGAACTTTAGGGCATGATCTCGAATATATTTTGGGATGGGGTCGATACGAAGGTACCAGGGCGGTATGGTAATGTAACGTAGGATTTTGTTTTCACAGACTTAAAGTCTGTTAATTTGGTTACCGGAAGCTATGCACCATGCTGGAGCTGCATAGAGGAGTTGGTAGCGAATGACGAATGTCGGTTTTGAGAAGGAGGACTTTTTGCTGAAGAGGCCATGCAGGCTAGCATAAGTGGCACGGGCACCAAAAAAATTCTTGTCGATGTCGAGAAATCCAGGATAGGCGGTGGTCAAGTGTGACTCCGAGATACTTGACGGTTTCCCCTCAAGGAATCTCTTTGTCGGCGACGACAAGAGGAGGAGATAGGGGGAGTCTCATACGTCCGGAAATGAACAAGGTTAGGATTTTTGCTGCGTTGACTTTGATCTTCCATTGGGAAAACCAATCAAGCAGCTGGATGATATGGGGTTGAAGCCTGCTCTGAATTTTATTGCAGTTATTTTCGAGGCAGTGGAGTAGAGACAGGTGTCGTCCACAAGCATGATTGGCTCGTTTATTCACAATACTAACATGTTCTGGTACCCAAATCAAAGTCACTTTGGTAACGGGGGTAAACCTCGTGAGATGGAAGATTTCCAACGACGACTACTGCAGAGTATGCGGAGAGAAAGAAGAAACCATAGAGCACCTGCTGTGCCACTGTCCGGCACTAGAATACCGACTCTTTAAAACTTTAGGGCAAGGTTTTTTGAAGAGACTAGAAGAAGCAGCAGAAGCGAACATCATCGACATCGGAAATTTTGCAAAGAGGTGGAGGTGCATTAACGCAAAGAAAGAATGAGAGGAAGGTTTTGTACAACAATAACAGGGGTATCGCAATGGACCCAAGGCCTCCGAGTGAGGGATCAAACATGACCCCAAACCCCAGCAGCCTTACCTAACCTAACCTAACAATGTAGGGCTCGACGAATGAGTACAGCGTGAACGAATGCTTTCCATCTTTGTCGATAAAAGTGAATTGATCAAAGAAAAATGCGAGCTGTGAACGATCGAACGCGTTGCAATGTGGATGTATTGGTAAACATGCCGGAAGTCGAAAAAGTTTTGGAAATGTTAGCGAAAGAATAGGATTCGTTCAAATGCGAACGAATATGGTAACGATGGTAACATTCATCAGGTGTAGCCTGGGCTTTAGGTTTTACCACTTTAATATCCATCTAGTTTGAGAATTTAACTAGTAGTAAGATGTTTTGTATGCTAAAGCTCAAAATATTTGCAAAGCATCTAGATTCTAAGTCGCAGTAACCGATTCCGCGAAGCTCGCATTAGGTTCTGCGTTATTTCGGTAAAAATTAATCCTTTGACGATTAAAACGCCATTTACCTCTGGTGTACGAGTCGCAGTTTCGCCCATGCCCCGTACCGTAGCCTGCTCGTAGCCGATCGCGAGACGCGAGATAAAATGTAAATAAAATAAAAGCGTCCTTGGCCGCCGAGCTCAGTCAGTGTTCCTTTCCTGCCCGCCGCTGGCTGGTGTGTACCGGCTGTCGCTCACCGCCACAACGCGATCCGTTTTACGAAAGCCCAAACGCGTAATACCTTGGCCGTTCTGGTGTGGAAACTACATTTTGCAATTACAAACTTGGTTTTTGTGTTTTTCGCGGCTTGTTTCGAAAAACTTTTTTGGTGATTTTTGTGATTTTGAATTAGTTGATTTGGAAAGTTGTTTTTGGATCGTTAGTGGTGACTGTTGATGGAAACATCAACATCTTAAACTGTAAGTTATATTTGTTCTCAGTTTAATACAATTGTGCTGTTTTTATGTGCCATAAGAATGATGTGTTGCAGTTTTTTAAAATCTGTTTTAAAAGTGCATCTATTGTTGATAAAAACTATAGCTGTTTAATGTTAAATACGTTTGAACTAAACTGTTTTCTAGTAAACGTGTATGCAATTGTAAGTCCTTGACACTTCGTACGTCTGTTATTAAGCGAGTCAGCTGTTTCCTCTCAGCAGGAGACGGGTCATCGAAAGAATATTTTGGTTATTGTACCTTTAGAACTTATTTTTTTACTACTACATATATTATGTAGAATTTATATTTATATTGGAAATATTAATTAAGTTACTCATGTTTTTCGGATGTTTTAAAAATATCGAACTCCGAACTTGATTTAGCAGCTGATGGAAGACATAGTGGATCACAAAATTGAAAATTTGGATCATTAGAGATTATTGCTAAAAACGTCAACCTCTTAATCTGTAGAGATTTAATAGAGTAAACTTCTAGTGTTTTTAAATTGTAAACAGTTATGGTTATAAAATGTTGCCATTTCATCTCGCATTTCATTATCTATTTTGAGAGTGCATTTATTGTTGATAATAATTGTAATTGCATTCTCTTGTTCTTACTAAACACTTTTCTAGTATAGGTAGATATGTCTATGTCTTTTGACACTTTGTAGATAATTTAATTTGTCTGCTATTAAGCGAGTCAGCTGTATCTTCTCAGCAGGAGACAGGTTATCGAAAGAATATTTTGGTTATTGTATTATTAGAACTTATTTTTTTACTACTGCATATATGTGGAATTTATATTTATATTGAAAATATTAATTAGGTTACTTATGTTTTTTCGCATGATTCAAAAATATCGAACTCCGAACTTGATTTAGCGGCTGATGCACTGAAACACAATGGATCAAAAAATTGAAAATTCGAATCTAATGATTCAAATTTTTTGAATCATTAGAGACTGTCGATGTAAACGTCAACGTCTTAATCTGCAGAGATATTTTAATAGAGTTAACTGCTAGTGTTTTTAAATTGTAAACAGTTATGGTTATAAGATATTGCCATTTCATTATCTATTTTAAGAGTGCATTTATTGTTGATAATTTTAATTGCTTTATATTTTTTTTGATTTTAACAGAACGTCAACGATTTCTTGTAAACGTATCTGTTTTAAAAAGTAAAGTGTTCTCGAATAGTTCAATTTTGAATGGTTTTTTTCTTGATTCTTTATATTTTTTTTTTGCTTCCGACGACGGAAAGAGAAAACTTTCCGAAACGTTAAGCATTTTTTTCTTTGTTAGGCAAATTTTTATTACTGTAAACACAACTTCTTACAAGCAGCATTTTTCTTGCAGTGCAGTGGCGAAAAACCCATAAGGATTTTTTTTGGATAATTTAACTTGTCTGATATTAAGCAAGACAACTGTTTCTTCTCAGCAGGAAATACAGGTTCCTTATGTTTTATTTCGCATGTTAGGCCAATCAAATTAATATATTTTGAGGAATAAATTTCCAGCAAGCTGGAAATCATTTTAATACCTTTATTCGGTCCTAAATGCATGTAATCTAAGTTTGCACCATCCCAGGAGGTGAGCTTAGTTTTTGATAGGCAAAAAACCGTCAAATTTTTGCACATTTTTGAGTTTTTTGCTTCTAGCTGGAAATCGGTGCGTCGGCCGGAAAATGTCACTCCATTCAATAATACAGAGGACTAACTTCTGCGTCGAATGACATATAAAACATCAAATTTGGTTTAGTGGTATAGCCGAAATCCAATGTTATAAACAAAGAAAATTTCGTATGTCGGTGCAAACTTACATTTTACGGCTATCTAAGACTACATATCTTTAAAACAGATACTCTTATTGAAAAAACCCATAGAATAAAAGTTGTAGGGAATAAATTTACGTTATATAGATACTTCTCTTAATAGCCAAAGCACGAAATTCATCTAACATTTACGTCATAAAACCTGGAAAGGGAACCTCTCAGAATACATTCTACCCAAGTACTACATTCTCCCACGTACTTCAACTTCTCGTCTGTTGTCAAAGAGAATATCCTGTTCCTACATGCAATCAGTCGATGCGATATAACCTCTGCATTCTATCGCCAAGGGAAGTTGAAGTTTGTCAAGCTTCTTGAAAAGAACACGACATTTCAAGAGAGTGTCAGGGTTTTTCATCATGAAGATGCAGATACTGAGGTTCTCATTTCAGCAGGTCAACTGTTCTTGGCTGCCCTTTATTCACCTAAGGCAGATGTGACCTCCTTGGGCCAAATTCGCTACGAGATATTTTCAAAATCCCTAACAAAGCCAACTTTTGAACTGGCCTCTCTACCTCCAACATATTCTACGAGTGTACCTTCAAATCTAAGGCTGGTATGATAAATCAAAGGATCCTTTGAACTGGGGTTGGAGAAGGACGGACTTTGGCCTTCTCCCCATCATAAACACCAAAGATCCAGCTCCACCTGAAATTCTCAATACTGTGTCCTGCAAATATTCAAAGGAGTATACAGAGAAGTACAGCTACCGAAAAGTAGGCATGAAATGTTCAGCAATATGCCTCAACTGCAGCGATCAGTCATGCTCGAATTCAGCACCCTTCGAGGATGAGAATGAGACCTACATTGCCGTAGAAGCAGAAATAGGTGAGGATGGTCCCTTTGAAGATGATCCCGATGAAGAGGACCTCGATATGCAACCGCGCCTTCCAAGCTTCTCAGATGAAGGGCCATCGACATCTAAGAAAATGGGAACATGAATGCCGCCACATTTTGTGCTGCATGTCTATTGATTTATACCATAATTACATTTATATTTCATCAATAAACTTTAAGTGTTTTTGTTACTTTATTGCACCTACATTATTAAGAACTATGATTAATTTACTTACTTAATTAATATTAATAATACTTATTAAAGATTTAATGGAAATGCAGAACTCTGATAAGTAATGATTTTTATTTCTACTACTCGAACCTCTACTCAGGTTGTGTATGTTACTTTAACATTGCAAAGCAATATGAAGTGCTGTTTTGGTACAAAATTTTGATATTTTTATACCCTACATAACTTCAAATGACTCAAACGTAAAAAAACGATTTTGAATTAATGCCAAATTTCGAGTTATAAGTGACTAAATTTAAAAAACTTAGGTCTCTGTGTAACGTGAAATTTTATTCTCAACAACTTTTATTTCATGGGTTTTTTCAATAGCAGTGTCTGTTTTAAAGATATGTGGTCATAGCCGCAAAATGTAAGTTGCACCGACATACGAATTTTTCTTTGTTTTTAACATTGGATTTCGGCTATACCACTAAACCAAATTTGATGTTTTATATGTGATTCGACGCAGAATTTAGTCCTCTGTATTATTGAATGGAATGACATGCGTTTTTTTGACTACCAAAAGTTAAGCTCACCACCTGGGATGGTGCAAACTCAAATTACACGTATTTAGGACCTAATAGAAGTATTAAACGATTTCCAGCTTGCTGGAAATTAATTCCGCAAAACTGCTTTTTTCATTTAATTTTATTGGCCTATGTTTAAAAAAAAGAATTTATTTAGGCGATTTCTTTGATTTAATCGGCTGATGGAAAACGGTTGTTCAAAGAAAATTTAAAATTTGGATAATTAGATCTTGATGTTCATGAAAATGTCATCATCTTGAGTTCATTTCACTAGTCCGAAAAAGTAGAAAAATAAGCGTTCGGCTAGGTTTAACGTTTTAACGTTTTATGTAAAACTGGCTAGGTATTTTTACACAAATGGAGAAGGAAATTAAAGATAAAGGATTATATTATATCCGTATTGTAGCACATTTTTAGACAACTTCTTTATTTTTAAGATTTTGATGGTCAAACATCAACAAAATATTCCTTATGTTTGGACTAAATTTTCTCGAAAATAAAGACATAATTTAAAATTCTGTTACAATACGGAAATAGATTGAAGTTTTGTGATTACAGTGATATATAATTTATATGGTTTTGTAACAAATTGCTCGCTATTTTATGGCAAATGCTGAAGCTCTGCAAACCTTAATCAAGCCTTAATCAAAGCACTGTGTTTGGAATTTTGGAAGTGGCTTAACACGGCAGGATCGGTCTAAGCCTTAGGCAGATTTCTGAAATATAATATATATTTCCTTCAGCCACAGACCCGCGTTCCCCGACCCTGAGAGCGACTCCGAACAGTACAGCGTAATAGACGCTGTAGAGATTTTTTAATTGAACAAACAGCTAGTGTTTCTAAACGTGCATTTAAGAGTGCGTTTATTGTTGATAAACATTATAACCATATAATTAAGTTGAAACTAAAACAGTTTTCTCGTATAGGTAGATATGTATATGCGTTTTCAAGTCCTTAACACTTTGTAGATAATTTAATTTGTCTGTTATTAAGCGAGTCAGCTGTATCTTCTCTCAGCAGGGGACAGGTTACCGAAAGCTACAATATGTGTGAAACACCTTGGTTAATTTACTATTAGAACCTATATTTATAGTTTTTATATTTTATAGTTTTTATATTTTATATTTATAGTTTTTTTTTAATTTATATTTTTATATAAATACTGAATTATATTTAGGTGATTTTGTGATAAACGTATCTTATGATAAAATCATTAATAGAACTAACTGCCAACGGCCTAGCTACGTTGAAGCACCGGTTCCCATTAGAACACCGAAGTTAAGCGACGTAAGGCGATACTGGTGGATGGGCGGGTGACCGGTTCGAAACTCTGTATCGTGCTGTTGTCCAAGGGAAAAGTGTAAAATTTATTGATACACACTGCTCATTCGCGCCGGGCGAGGCCGGATGAGATCGGATATCTCGTGAGTAAGAGTTAATTTAGACACTTCCTAAGTCGGTAGGCCACTGACCATGATATGGCCGAAGACCGCGGTTCGGATTCCGCGTAAACAAAGTAGGCTCCGTCCAGATTAGCCCTGGCAGCAAAAAGGAGACGCTAA